CTGCTTGTCCACAGCAGCATCTGCCCTTTCATCCGCGGCGTTGGCCACAGTGTTGTCGATCTCACGCTTGTCCGCAGCCTCTGTCCCATCCGTGGCATTGGCCACAGCGTCGTGGATCTCCTGCCTGTCCGCAGCCTCGGTCCCTGCGTCGGCAATGGCCACAGTGTCGTGGATCTCCTGCTTGTCCGCAGCCTCTGTCCCGTCGTCGGCATTGGCCTCAGTGCTCTTGATCGCCTCCTTGTCGGCGACCTGCGTGGCACTCGACTGCCTCTTCTGCAGCCACTCACAAAAGTGCTCGATGTCGGCCAAAGCGTCGCCCTCCATGTCGCCAAACCTGAGCAAGCCAGTTAGTGGTAGTAGCAGCAGCGGTGGCACGTAGCAGCAGCAAGGGTTGAGCGTTGGAGGCTGAGGGTTTCGGGCTTCGGGTTGAGTTTTAGAGGTTAGGGTTCGTGGCAAGATGCTCCCAATCATCCTCCACATCGCCCTGTAGAGAGGCCACGTACTGGGGGAAAAGTTCGTGCTTCTTGGCCCGGGAGATTTCCCACTCCAAATCTGCGCCGTCCTTACTGGCTTGTTGACTCAGGAATTAATTGTATGGCGCCTAGTTTGTACTTAAGCTTCATGCAGGCTCCAGGTTTTTAAAATGCGCTTCAGACCCAAGTTCTCAGGCCATGTAGGGCTTGTTGGGAAGTCTGTAGCTGCAGAGTAACCTGAGCGAAGAGGTCGTGGTAATCGATGTTGGGGGTATAGTAGTCGAGGATCAGCTTGGGTTCGGTCGCGGGCGACGGTGCCCCTTCCGGCCGTGGTGTGGAAGCTGCCTCAGGCTTGACATCGGTGGAGCGCAAGCCAGAACTGAGAAAGTCCATCAATTTCCAGCCCGAGCTTATCGCCGCTACAATCTTCTTGACGCCCGCCGCATGGTGGTGAGCAACCTCAAACTGATCCTCCACAGTCTGCAGCACGTCTTTTTCATGCACGAAGGGCTTGGGCACGGCAGCGAAAGCCTAGCTGCAAGTTTTCACTCCCCGACAACACCCAAGACACCACTCTCACACTTGCACATGAAACACAAAAAGAAACTACTGACTGACTCACTGTATCACTTTTAGTTACACTGCACTGCACTATATTATCCGACCACCGAACTCTACCAAGCACTATTGCACCTCATTCTACAAGCCGAAAAACAAGAAAATTGCATCCGACGCCATGATCAACCTGCTGCTCCTTGTAGAAAGTCTTCGGCGCATTCATGTACCCGAGGCCACATTGAAAAAAGAAGAAACCGGGTGGGATGAGCAGGGCTTCGCCTTCTCGCAAAACGATATAGGAACCACCATTGGACACCAAGTCATCCAAACTCATCGACCCCAACTCGTCTGCAAGGTTGGTCAAAGAAATCACACCATCCTTGCTGGGCAAAGCCTCCGTAGTTTTTTCGCTCAGTGCGGTGAACGACATCATGGCGACAAAGCACGCCCCACGTGTACACATAATGCAACGAGCCAGCAAGCCGTCGCCGAATGATGATGCTATCCACGACGGTCCCGCTACCACCTGAATCTACAGGGCCTTGGTTCAAGGTGTTGGGTTAGGGTCGGGTGATTTTTCAAGCTCCACCACCGCCACCACCTCCCTCAACGGCAGGAGGGATCTGAAAGTTTTGGCATCGTCCTCATTGCAACGCTGCTGCCTGGGCACGCACGACCATCCCTTTGCCATGCGCTACATCTTACAACTGACTGTCATGATGTGGAACTACAAATGATGTTTAAGCAAAGCCGCGCAATCAGTTCCTCTAACATCTCGCCGCCACAACAGATCTCCCCCATGAGCTCGGACACATGCGGCGACCACAGGCCGCGCGAAGCAAACATCGGCATCTTGACTTGCACTGTCTTGTCGGGGGCGGCCTTCCAACCCCGCTCGGACTCTTCCGGTGATGCCAAGTTTTGTTTCAACTCTTCGGACATGTGTGGGGGATCAAAGTAAAACCACAGCGGCTGCGAAAAGTCAATGTCTTGCAGCGGCCTGCTCTCTCCGGGAACCACGGTCATCACGCTTGGGCTGGATCCAAGCGAACCATCCTCGTTCAAGGCCGATTGTGATGTATCATTGAACGACTGGACCTTGTCGCACGATATGCTTGCAATTCGCTTCAGGTCCGAGACAATGTAGAAGCACTGGGCCTTCAGCGGGTCTTGAGTAAGGCTTAGCTAAGTAATGACGCCCGTCACATGCCTGGCCTTGCTCCTGCCATTGTTGCACTTGCTGAAGCGTGGTCTCGCGTAGCTCACCACCTGCGGCTTTAACGGCCTCCTAGCTGCAACCCAGCACTCAAAAACTCAAAATGCAGCCACCTGCAGCCTGCAGCAACTCAAGCTCAAACAATGACACTGACTCCCATGGATGGATGCTAGCTGCTAACTCTGGTGGACAAGAACATGAACATCATAATTCATGATCCAAGACCCCTCCGCCAAAGTTCCCCGGTGACCGTGTGTTCGTGCCCCCCCCCAAAACCCAACAGCAACTACAACCACAAACTCGCTCTGCGGGGCTTGCCTTGTCTTGCTTGACTGCCTTGGCGGGGCGCTTGCCCTTGCCATTGCTACTAGTAGGTGCCGTCGTCGCCTTGCCGTCGTCATCCATGTCAGCCTCAGACGCCGACGGGGATGAGCCGTCCTCGCCACTCTCCGACTCGCGGTCGCTGCCGCTGCCATCGCCATCTTCACCGTCTTCTCCTTTGGCACTGCCCCTTGGCGCCGCATCCGGATCATCCTCCTCAGGGGCTTCTTGGTCCGCCTCGGCCCGCCCAGCTTCACGTGCTTCCTTGATGACCTTCAAAGCGTCTGAAGCGCGTTTGGCGCGGAGTTGGTTAAGGCGTTCCTCGCGAGCCTTTTCCTTCTCCTGCTGCACCTGGAGCTCTGTAGACGTCTTGTTCAATAAGTTCATGGCCTTGTTGACTGCTTGTTCAGCACTCAGCATGGTTTTCTCGTAGTCCTGAATCGAGCTCCTGGTTGGCGCTTCAAGGGCCTTCACGCGGTTGCTTGAAAGCGGCGAAAGCTTCTCGCGGCAGCTGCCTCGGTCAAACTTTGCGGCCTCAGTCTCAGGAGGGAACTTGCAGGCGTTCTGGCCACCGGAGGGAAGAAGCGCGTACATGCGCTCCAGCCGGGCTCGCAAAAGGCTTGAGACTTCATTGCATTCCTCGAATGCAACCGCAGCCTCTAGCGCCAATGTCACTTCTTGGTTCAGCTCCTCCACCTTCGTCTTCCACCTGCCACTGGCCACAAGCAGCTTGCGCTGCAAGTCAAGCCTCTCAAGCTCAGGGTCTTTCGGCTTTTTCGACTTGTTGGGGTCCCCGTCGGTGAATTGCTTCTTGGGCTGCTGATCCGGTATCACCACTTCCGGCGGCCCAAAGTTGGAGGGCGCCTGCTGCTGCAGCACCGTACCGGCGGCAGCGGCGGAACCCCCCGCCTTTTTCATGACGTTTGCCTTAGCCTTGCCCTTTGCCTTTGCTTTGCCCTTCGGAACGACAAGTGCAAAGGATGACTCAGGCCCCTGGGAGGCCAAGCCTTGGCGGCACCCCTAAAGCTGCATCTGAGAAAACAAGTGGGTCTGTGAAAGTATTGAAACAGCACCCTTGAAGCCCAGCTGCTATGGATCTGGCTCTCCGCTTCCAGAGTCGAGGTGAGCAAGCCTCACACGGACTCAAAACACCCCGCAACTCGAGGAGCGTAAGCAACCTGCCCCCACCAGACACGAGCATCATGAGCATCAGCCGGTCCTGGGCTGGAGGAGGGGGGGAGTGTCACCACACCCCCCCGTAATTACACGGGTGGCAGCAACAGCTACTCGAGCAAACGCCACTGGCATGAAGAGTGAGCCCCCCACCTCTTCCCAGAGCCACAACTTGGGAAGAGTCGCAGATCTCCTGACTGCGGCTCTCCTGCAAGCTCCTGATGCTTGCGGTGGCTCTGCCTGACGAATGCTTTTGCCTCACCAACCGGCAAACAGTCACGTTGCCGAATTCATCTCTCGCCTTCTTTATCGAAGGGTCCTTCAGGGATTTGTGCCACTCATCCTGGGCGGTGTCGTCCGACCAATTATACCATTTCTTCCCTCTCTTTTTAAACCTGTCGGGCGACGCATCATATCTTCGCTGTCTACATAGCCCTACCCGTAATGAGCACAGCTTGACAGCCGCACGGGCAAACCCTAAACCCTAAACCCCTCAACCCTAAACACCTAGAGTACCCTTTAAAGGAAGCCTAGGATCCCTATAGTACCCTTCAAAGGAACCCTAAACCCCTAAACCGCTTCCGGGGAACCCTAAGCCCTAAACCCTAAACCTAAACACCTGAACCCTAAACCCTACACACCTAAACCCTAAACCTAAACACCTAAACCCTAAACCCTAAACACCTAAATCCTAAACCCTCAAGGCAATGCACTGGCCTGATTTCGTTCAAGTAATCCGTCTCTTCACCAGTCTTCTGGTAATCCTTCACTTGCACCTTTTTCCAAATGACACTAGACTAGACACGTGGCAGAACAAAACCTGTGTGAAAGTCTGTGTGTTTGTGTCTTCGCGTGCGTGCTCGCGCGCGGTTCTGGATATATTTAGTTCGGCCGCCCACCTCCTGAATGGCAACCAATTCTCGTTTGCGGCCACGCCCGCCTTTACCACGGTTTGCTACTATGTAAGACTTCTTCGTCTCGGCGCTGAGGTCTGTCCATCCGGGCACATGGTCACGGCAGAATCGGTAAGAACTGTGGCACTTGCTGCATTTGAACAAACTGCCAAAGGGTTGGCAGCCCTTGCCATCTGGATGCACTTCAATCCCGCAGTCCATGCACCTTGGAATCTAGAAGCGTGCAGCGTGAGCAACGGGGGCCGTGGTGCGCCGGGAGGGTGGGAGGCGCGGGGTGGGGGTATGGGGTCACCGGGTACGTGGTCACGGCAGAATCGGTAAAAATAAATGTGGCATATTTGCTGCATTTCCATAAACAAGGGTTGGCAATCCGTACTATCTCGATGCACCTCAAGCCTCAAGCTGGCAGCCCATGCACCTTAGAAGATTTAAACTTGAGCTGGCCCACCAGAATCCCCAGAAGCGAGCATCATGAACATCAGCTGGGTTTGGGAGGTCGGGGAAGGGGTAAGAAAGCTCAAGCCATAGAAAACTTCAGGGTTGCCAAACTACAAACTACAAGCTGCGTGGTGACTGCGTCATCTTCATCCTCCTTTTCGGGCGGCTCCGCAACCAACGCTTCCAGCGAGGGTGCTGGCGCTTCCGTCTCGCTCATATCGACTTCACTCATGTGAAAACGAGTGCTACCACCGATCACCGCGCAAGCGGCAACCTCACTACTCAGCACTCGAGCCTCAAGCATCCGTTCCCAGGTGTGCTTTCCCCATCTGCAAGTTACACGCAAGGTATTACAATGTGACGTTGAGTCGTGTGGGTGCACAAACACCGAGAACACACACAGCTGACTTTCAATTGGACTGCGAAGCAATTAACTACGTCACACGCGATGTAGCTCTCCGCCCTACATGCTGCATACACCATATAAATATACTGCACTGTACACTGATACTTTGCTACGGCCTGCCAGCACTCCACCTGCGGCACATATAAACTGTCAACTCTTTTGGCACACACGCACACCCCAACACACGCATGTTCTTGGCGTCCTTACCCGCCACACTCAACGAGCTGTGCAACACATTGCGGCCAGCAACATCAAACCTATACAGCTTGCATGCATGCTGTTGCCGGCAAGCTTGCTCAGGACCCAATGCGACATGCCCCGAACGTCGACACGTGCGCAGCCCATTGCATCACTCACGCACGTGGCCACTGGGACACCATGTATCAGAAGCAACTCGTAGCCATGGATAAAGCGATTCTTCGGGTAAAAGAACAGCCTAGAACAGCCTGTCGTAATCGTTGGCAGGTGATTTCGGCCCCGTCTGGGTCGATGCTCTGGCTCCTGATACAAGTCCGCCACTTGAACGCCCGGGAATAACTCTTCATATGCAGCCTTTCCTAAGATGAACAGGATACTCGAACACCGGCACAAACGCACACGCGCACACACACACACACACACGCCAACAACACACAGTCACGCCGTCTGAAGTCTAGCTGGGCAACGCCTGCTCAAGTTGCATGCGAGGTCGTGACTCACATCCATATTCAGCACCATCTGGCAGAAATCAGCTCCGCAGTCGCCATTCGTGGAATTCACGGAGCACGCCGCAACAAACTCGCAGAGCGGTGTTGACAGCCTGCAAAACCACAGGGCCCAACCAAGACCAAATTACTTAGACTGGAACTCTGCATATCAGAACACATGACGCCTGTAAGGATCTCGGTGCATGACGACGTACTTCCTGGGCCTAGATACCGGAAAATCCGCCACAGCTCGAGGGTCTAGCAGCACCACCCCGCTCA